TTGTTACTAAAAGGAATGTCATCRTTTCTAACACTCCTACAATTAAAAGGGCCTATTATTACACAGGGACTTTGTTCTTCCTTTGCAGCTCTAAACTACCACAAACTTATGAGCAAGATCTGTTCACAAACTGCCAAAGGACATCGGGAAAACTGCTCTCCTGCTAAAGAAGGCTGAAAAGTTTTGGACTTCGGTGTTGCTTGGAGCAGAAGAGGCAATCCCCAGTACCACATTAAATTATGTAGAAAGAATAAGGCACTTCATGTTTGYACATTCCCCTGTGACAGAATACCAGAGACAGCAATGCTGTGAAATGAACGAGCATGAGCAAAACAACACGACAAGGAGAATGAGTGAACCCGGGCTTCCAAGGAAGCACAGCTTGAAAGCATGCGCTGTGAGCCCAGATCTCTTAACCCACTTTCCCTGTCTAACTTATTCCTTCTCTGAGTTTTAAGAGAGGAAGGAATGGAAGRAACAGAGGCAAAAAATGAACATCTTAATATTTCAAAAATAAAAAGCTATACAACTAAAATCTACAAATGTTTGCCTGAAACTGATAGAATACTTGTGACAGAAATTGTATTGCTCCATTGCTCCATTTTATTCCTCTTCCCTAAGCCATGCTGTTGGCCACTGTCAAAGACAGGATATTGGGCCAGAGGAGCCCTCAGTCTGACTTAGTCAGGTCTTCTAATTAGGCAGGGGCTAACAGGAAGAAGATGCTATACAAAAACCTAGAGTAGATATACACATATAACAGCATGATTAACCTTTCTAAGGTCTCAATAGTTAAAACATTCATATAGAACTGAAGCTTCCAGAGAACAGAGGACCAGTATTAGCTCATCTACACTCAGCATGGTTTATCACTGGAGGCAGGAGATCCAGGTTTAGAAATGAGGCTGTGTCTCAGTCCTCCAGCCACAGCAATGATAAACTTAAGTAATGCATGTATAACATCCTACTATCAACAGTGTACAAATATGTTGTGTACTTCTGTGACAAAGTTCTCAAGCTTTTGCAGATCAAAAGAAATTTGGCTTCCCGGACTAGTTGTACATTTATTTTGTCTGACATAAGGTAATTGTGTTTATCTGTTTAGAAACAGAAGAAATGGAGAAAAGAGAATGAAAATTCTCTTTTTCCTCATCCAGTTTTCTATATAGTAAAAAACTGTTGCTTCGCTGCTTCTCCAATCCTTTTCTCAGTGACAGGTGAAAYTGAAATAGCAAAAGGCCTTTTCAGCTGTGGCACCTGGAACATTGTTTCCATAGTCTGGTCTCAATACAAGACATACACCACTTCTCCCTATTTCAGCTACCACTGGCTTCTGCTCTCCATCCCACTGARGACTTGTGGSTGCTGATRCACCTGSTCCACTCACAGAATCACYTTAGYATTGCTGCTTGCTCTRTCAGCAGAMACTTAAAGCAGTACAGGTCTGCATWCTAGCTTRATTCTGGATCTCTAGATGTAGACTGTCATACCSCTGACTCTAATCACCATTTTAAGACAAAGACCAACTGCAAAATTTCTTGAARAGCTGGAAACACMAATGACAGGAACCATGCAAATGCAWATTTCAAMACAAGTGGGCTCTTTGTCCCCATTTATACAAAGTGCCAAGAATGTATTCAGTGTTTCTCTCCRTCGTTGACTTTAAAGGTCATTTGTCAGCACTTGGCAGGAGATGGCCCTTACTACAAATGTTGACCTTGAAAATAYGGCAAAGACCAGAAGTAAAAACCTATTCAATTATAGTGAAGGTTTTTAATCCAGAAAGAGGAACTACAGGGATATAGAAAAATAATCCATGTAGGTAAATATGTTTATAATGGAAAACCACATTTAATAAGTAGTTCATTYATTAGTAACTACTTGAAAAAAAAGGATCATTACCACTGTAGTGGAAACAGCATACTGTGATTCTGGTCTAGTAAGAAAAACTTAATTATTRTAAGTTTTATGTCTCAATAAGAAATCACAAATCAGTTCAGGATAAAMCAGGTAGAAACRATGAAAAAATAATTGTGCTACCAATAGGAAATGATAAGAAATATTACTAATAAAGACTTTTAAAATAYATAATTATTATRTTCATCATAARGTCAAAAATTATCAGACTGATAAGGTAAAAAACACATAAGAAAATGATTATGTTATAAAAAAAATTAAAATCTGAAATATAGAGAATCTTACTTTTAAAACTGAATTTGGTTTGGAAGTCCAACAGCTACCACCTCATGGATTTACTTCTTGCTGTATTTTATATTGGAATCTCTGGCAGTAAGCAACTAGAGAGTGGTTTTTCTTTATAAAGGTTAACAGTTTATGAAAGAAATAAACACTTGAATAGCAAGTTAATTCCTCAGAAAGACAAAACATTGACTTAATCATAGGCCATGCTATTACATACACATGAGACACCCCTGTACATTTCTGACACTCGCATTCTTCAGCTTTACATCTTGAAATGCAAAACAATGGTAGCAATTAGGAATGGGCATACCTTGTGTATAGACATACATACAGATACAGATACAGGTACAGATACATATATTGATATGCAGATATATAAACACTTCTCAGATGTTGTTGTGGGCTTCAGCTTGCAGGAAGTGGAGAGTGAAACTTGACATGCCTTTCTTTACAAAAATTGAGGAGTAACAACCCCTTAATTCTTTTCTGTCAATAAGTAAACATCCTTTTCTCACCGTTTTTGCCTGTATTAAAGCAAAAAGATTCCAAACTATAGGATATATTTGAAATAATTATTGCAAATACAGATTTTGCAATGCTGTCCATATAACTTGCCTAAATATCCACAGCCTTGAAGCATGAGGAGGCTCAGCTCCATCATTGCAMGTCATTACATATGGCAGGAAGGGAGGAGAACCAAACTTTATCAGGTTGTCTTTAAAATTCACTGGGCTTTAGGTAATTCATGACTCTACAGTAAGTCCAGCTCATCAACATGCTCTTTTCATTTGCTATCTGCCCTGCTTACAAATTATATGTTTTCCTTGACTCACTCAAAAGTGTTGACTTTTGCTGCCTGTTTCCACTGAGACATGAATGCTCCTTGCTCAGTTATCCCATTAACTCTCCTTTGAAAACAGCAAGATGTAGCTGTAGTCAGATCAGAAGACCACACATTTAGAGAGCAAAATGTCAGACATAGGGCACCAAACCAGTAAATTCTGCACGGAAATAATTTGCCCTGTGTCTTAGCAAGATATAATATTCTACAACTATGTGCAATTGTGGAATACAGACTTGGACTGCAGTAAGTGGTTAACTTCAAATACATCTTTGATGTTTTTCAGACTGTCTGTAGGTTTTGTATTGATTTACACTTACATTTTGAAACASTACTGCAAAAGAAGATTGTTCTTGGAGCTCAGTTGTGTGATAAAGTAAAAATTCTGTGGGCTCTCAGTCTCAGCTTTCATAAATCATYTCAGCAAGCAAAACCAAGCACTTTTTTTGTTCTGCAAAACACTGCTGGCTAAATTCTAATTCTGTAAAATCACTAGTGCAAATTCATCAGAACATAACAGTTACTGCTGCCCACTACCAGCAGTCTTCCAGGAGGATGGTTAAAGAGAGGTACTACTTGCCATTCCGTAAAAACWATTACAGCTTGTTAAGACTTTATCATTAGAGGTGAATTGAGCTTATTAAAAATCTTATTAGACCACAAGTCATTCAGTGTCTCCAACCTGACAATTTTTGTACTCCAGGTAAGCATATTAATGTTTATTCATTTGTTTACATGAATTGTACTGTTCAAAACTAGAATTCCCAATTTTTTGCAGTGTAAAACAATATAAAATACTGTGCAGATTATTAATATCCTAGATCTACATGTGGAAAAATAAATCATAATGAGCTGATTTTAATCATTAAATAGCTTCCCTAATAGCTACCAAGAAAACTCCCAATGTTATTTTTTACTTACATTATACTATGTAAAAAAAAAAAAAATCCTTAAACTTGATTTACTCATTGAATTTGCGTAACTGATACCCAGTTAATCCAACTGCATTTCTGTCTATAGGGTAGATCACAAATGGATCACAAACAGAAGGGAAGTTTWAGTATTTTGTCACTGTCAAATTTTTCCTGCATTTTTTGGGATTAGCAGTTCTTACACACAGATTATAATTAACAATTTACGAAAAGCAAGCATTTAGTTCATCCTAGCATCTCTCATTAATTTTATATTCATATGAAGAACAACCAGCCACCAAACATTCATGAAGACAAAATCTTTTTTTCTTTTTGTTATGGAAGTTCACAAAAGGGGACAAAAAAGGCAAATCCATAGCTTTACMAGTCATACCAATTTTACATAAGATATATCTACTGTCATATTTACTTGCATGTTTAAAGCAGATTGCATAAGAAAGCTTGGGAAAAGATACCAGTAATACCAATACAAAACAAATTAAGAATAAATATTTAAAATTTATGAGGAATTTTTTTCAGTGGAAACAATTATGCTAAATAAGCTGATTCAGGCTGTTCTAAGAAAAGCTTTAGCTGAAAACCCACATTTACAATCTATCTTAAAAACAAGCAGAACACTGTACCAAACCAAGCATTAGCTCAATTAAAAAAGGGGAAAAAAATGAAATCGCTTCTCAGCTTAATAACTTGTTAGTTCTTGACAAGTGCAACAACACAACAATAAGCCAGTCAAAATGAGTTTTTAAAGCGAGGTTATGCCCTTCATGTTGTGTTATCACAGTGGCAGATCAAACTGCTGACTTGGACTCTTTCTGCCAGCAGTGCTGATGCTGCCTCTATGAGCTACTGTCACAGAATAGTCATGGTACCTGCTCTTGCCTATAGAAAAGCACTAAATTGAACTAGAAGTAGTGTCTTTGTGATATCTTTTCAACAAGTCATGTCCCATTTAGCCTGCTAGTTTATCTCTGTCAGGCTGGGGGCCCAAGTGGTTTGCATGAGCTGTCAGGGACAGGTCTACCAACCTGCGCAGTGCTAAGGAGGTAATGTGTCTTTCGGGCTTGGTAATTCTTTTCCTTTTCTTTCTTTTCTAGGGCTTCCATTTCCTCTTCCTTTTCCTTCATATCTGCATACTCTTTAAGTTCACCCCTGTAATAAAAGAAGTCTGTTAACTACATTATAAAACAAAAGAAGTGCTACTGTTCTATTTTACTTTAACCCTYTCATAGCTCCACAGTGTTCTTTTCTTACATAGTAGCAGTACACTGACAGCACAGAAATGTAAAATTACTGTTTTTTCAGTTCCAAAGCAGTAGGATACTACATGTATATAATTATGATGAAACATGTTAAAGTGATTAAAAGTAGGACMTGCATATAGGTTCACTTTACTTACAGCTTGATAAAATAGTATTCACATATGTCCTTTCATTTGCCTTCAAGTGTCATGTTACTTCTAATTTCTCTAAGCAGAAGCTATTATAATATGGTGATTTTCCTTCAAATGGTTTCAAAATAAAAGTTGTTCACTTTTGTTTTAGACTTGCAACACTTCCTGATCTGCAGACAGGGGAGATCTTATGGAATGACAGAGAGCAGACATAGGATAAGAGATGATATTCACTCCTGAATCCTTGAGCCTTTTGTAAGGTTGAGGCAGTAGGGAACYTTTCATACATTTCATTGTCCTTAAGAGGAGTTTCTGGGGCCTTGGGCTTCTTGCACTGGTCATTTCTGCTCTGATTTGATGGGAACTGTACAAGCCACTACAAAAACCAGGAGTGAAAGTGCTTCATGGAGCACTGTAGGAGAGAGGTGTGCACAAACATATAGAGTCATCTAAACGTGTGATTCTGTGCAGAAAATCCTTTAACCATAAAAGAAATAGGGAACTATACTTAATACCAGGTTTCAAAGAATGGAGWAAACTCACAATTTCAATTGAATGTTTAGAGGAMAACTTGAACAGGAAATGGGCATAGATCTCCTCAATRGCTCTTTTTCACAGAGCCAGTCTTRCCATAAATTATGAAAACAGTAGAGYRAATTAATGTTCTAWAAGAAACAAAATTCCATGCTATTGTGCACAGTACATGTGTATAGAATTTTTTGATCCAGTTAAAAAGGTTAGTTTGATTAACATTTTTTATTTTTGTTATTGCAAAAKGGCTAATTCAAATTAACCTGCGTGCCAAAGAGACGAAGCATATCCAGTCAAGCATTTAAATGTGCTAAAATTTAATTGAGTAAATTCTAGTCTTTATTTTTTTAAGTATGTGTATATATGATAAAATAAAAAGACAAAAATTATTCACATAACTGGGTAATTCAAATATTTCTACAAAACAGATTATTCAGAGAGATCCACATTAACAGTCTCAGTTGTTTCAATAACTACCTAATAAGACACTGTGAGGACATGGGTCAAATTTTGTCAAAATATGCACATGGATGTGTATGCTGTTTATGAATAATCCCATGAGAAAGTCATATTGCTCTGAAAGTGTTTTTAAGATTGTGACTCAGGCTTACTCGTGGTATTTTCATCACCATTRAATTAGTTCATCAAAATATGTGAAAGAGCATTAATTGCTTTATAAATATGAGCACTATGAAATCACATTCTTAAATGCAAGTTGCAATGTAGAATTTTATTTGTTTCATGTTATCTTTTAAGATTTTATCAATTAAAATAAGTAATTTATTAATAAATTAAACATTTTATTTAAACTCTAAAGAAAAATAGAATGAAAAATAAATACAGATCAGAAAAGATGTATAGGTATGTTTCAGTCTCTGAAAGTATTTTTTGTTGCAGTTTACTGTTAAAGGCTGCTAATACAATATTTCAYACAAGGTTACTTATGAAGCACACTGACGTTTAAAAATCACCATGCTATGCTTTTGCAGCAGTGTAATTTTTTTCCAACATAAGATTAAATTGCAAAATAAATGAATTACTTAGAGTGGCATGGCCCCCATTTTGCCACCCTTCTCTTGAAAATTGCTTATTAATATGAAAAAAGAAGTTGGAAAATAGCCTGTTTTACTTTATGCATAACATTCCGGGGCCTCAAAGCCTGCAAAGCCGGAGTAGCTGCGCATTTTAGATTGTGTTGGCAAGCGGGGACGGTGACCTTTCTGACCTGCATCTCAAGGCTATTATTAATCGCTAAGTAACCTGGTAAAGCCAAACAAATTTGTTTCCATTGAAAGGATCTCTATCTGTGTCTGAGAATTTGTGCTGTACCAAACAAACCTCATTAACTGTGTCCATTTTTGACAAAGAACWAGGAGTTGAAGAGATTGGCGACCTTTCTTTGTCCTCAAGGTACAGACTTCAGAGTCACTCTATGTAGGTACATAAGCATTTTTTACTAAGAAACTCTTTGTTCTGTATCCATCAGTCATAAACAAATTAATAAATAGACAATACATACAGTATCAACTTTGTTCTTTTATTCCATACCACTTTACCTTCAACATCAGAGTGCTTGATCTGTGGTTTACATATTAAATGCTATTCCTTTTTGATTACAGAGCCCTCTATTCCGCTTTAGTACCCTTATCTACAGCTGATGAAATAACTATCAACATACYACTGTGGTCTATTCATGTTCTTATATACTGAGGTACTTTTTCCTAACAGTGAATATGGAAGATTTTCGATTTAGAACACAACTGGTGATAAAAACCTAAAAATAATGTCAAAAATATAGATTTGTATTTCAGAAATAATGACAACAGGATGCAAAATGCTTCCCATTGTCATCAATCTGAATTTACCAGATTATTTTGAATGAATGATTAATAATCATTACTTGCTGCAACTAAATGAAGTCTAAAATATTTGTTGAAGTTCAGTGTCATTCATTATCTTCTTAGATAGTGCCATCATCCAAATTACCATGATCATTCCTGATTATCACATACTATCACTAATACTTGTACCCTAATCCATGCAAAAGTTTGAGATTTTTTAAGCAGTCACAAATAGTTTTCAACATACTTTTCAGCCTACACAATTGGTAAGTTGTTCTAAAATATCTCTATCAGGCATTATACTGTCCCGTACTGTTGTACAGAACATCTAGAAAATTCTGTCTCAGGGATAATAGCTCCCAAGATGATTCTCTCCTCAGGGGCAGTACAAAATAAGTGGTATATAGCAGTAACATTGCTTGACTGGAAACACAGATGTTTTAGCATTAATATAGATTTATTTTACAASTATTTGAACCTGAAGCTTTCATCTCTTTTACCTTATCTTCAAACATTTGGAAAGGAACAACAAAAGTAGAGAATCTAAAGCAGTTAGATATGAATAGACACTATTTCACACATTAGCAGATTAATACTAACATGTCATGTACTGTGCAGGGGTTTCACTGTTACCATGCAGAATGATTCATAAAGGGTAAGTGATACTAAAGACATAAACTTAGTCTTACAAATGGAGCTAGAGTTCAACACAACTTAGATGGAAATGCGTTCACTGAGAAGTTTCATGCTTGGGACCTTCTTGTATGCCTTCCCAGAAAAAAACAAATCCAAATTCTATTAAAGTCTATTGGAAATCAGTTGAAATTAAACGATTTTTGGATTAAATACCAAATCCAAAGATCCATACCAATACTTCCTGCCARCCTTCTCTTTGTTCACAGATATGATAGGCTCATTGAGCAATCTTTTCTTGGGATGTATAGGCATCATCTCTGTGACATTATTAATACTAGCTATGAGCACGACACTGGATTCTGGAACAAATTTGCTTCAGGATGAAATCTTTCCTGGTTCAGTGTGAAATGGGGGTAGGCAAATTGTTTGGTCTATATTTTTAAAGCTTCAATAAATTTTGCAAGAGAAAAGGAGTTCTGTAAATGAGAAGCATGTTTTAGGTTATTTGATAAGCTAATTCTATTTTTGTAAACAATCTGTCTGTTGCATGGTTCATAGCTGGAATAGTACTGCTTAATAAAACATTATAACTTAAAAATTGGGTAATTATTTTAGCATGTAATCTTTTCCTTATCTTAAATTTTATCTCAATATATTAACAGCATCTATTGCAACTTCCTACAAACCTGGCTTCCCATATAAGCTTAGTCCAATCAGACTTTCTCCCATAGATTTTTATGGAATAGCTTTGTAAAGGAAATAGGTGGTGTAGTGCCTTAAATGTAGTGCCTTATAGTGATCTGTAAATTATTAAACAAATCAGAAGGATATCATAACTAGTGCAAGTTTAGGATGCATTTTTATTACTAAAAACATGAATATACTGGCTAACACAAAGTGTGTTGTTCTTGTCATAGGGAATATTTCATGTAATTGAAAATAGGYATAGGATTATCAACATATGTGCTCAAAACTTACAATTAAAATTGATCTTGTGTAACAAATCTCTTAGGTAGCTACTGAATTGTTGGTGATAAAATTATTTGCTCTATATAGTTAGAAATAAAAAAAAATCATCTGACAAGGTAACTTATTGTTATTCTGATACTTCATTATGCAGTAGGCAATGGTGTTGGTTCCTGCTATGAGATGCAAATTCAGTTGACAGTGCTCCTGCTGTCTGTATAAAGGTTAAAAATACACATATAATATTGTTCCTGGCACWTTTTGAAAGGKCTTTAAGTGATTATTTCAATAATAYAYAGATTTTAATAATTCTGCATAGAACTGCATCATTTTACAAATTCAGRCTGATGTATGTTTCTTAAATTTATCAAATTATTGTGTTCTGTTAACATTTTCACTGGCATTCTGTAGTCCTATGGCCAAATAATATTAAAAAAATATTTTATTAAGTAGAGGGCATCCAATAAAAAACGATTTTTAGTATAGTTGCCTCTTTATCCAGAAGAAGTATTAAGTTATTGTGATTTTAAACAGTTCAGACACCAAATCATAAAATTGCTGCAACAGAGGCAATAAGCAAACTTAGCATACAAGGAGATAACCTAAATCTATTTAATCCTCTTGACTATACATAATTTTCCCTGCTCAAATACAGAATATGGAAGTTAAAATAAAATTAGTGAGAAAATAATTTTGGTATACCACTSCATGCCATTTGATTTTACATCACACTGGTGTATGTGAGAATGGAATATGACCAATATGACCAACCTTATGCCATGATA